AAAAGTGCCCCAATGCCAGTTAAACAATAGTAATTATATTAATGTTCGAGTTGTTTGGCCGACATCTTGTTCATGAATTGTCGTATAATTGAAAGGAATATGTTTGCAATTCGTCGACGTCTCCAGGGGCAAATGGAAGGGAAAGGCACTATACTGTACTACTGTCACCATGTTCGTTATCGTCTGTGAAGCATGCACCATTAAACATTCATTTTTGGGACCGTTGGCTTTGTGCGGATAAGAGACTAGGTTAGAAATTACCGTGCCTCTTCCTTTCATAGCTGTGATACGGTATGGCATACGAATAGTCTTTTCCACTACAAACTCGAAATATATTCTATTGATAGTGTTTCGTGAATCTGTCTTCGAATTAGGTTGAAGGTTACAAGTGGATTAAATATTGTTTATATTTTGATGACATACGAACGGGTCTTCGGTCAGCATTGCCAAATAAATGACAGAATATAGTATATAGAAATTAACTAACTTACTTTTTTTTTTAGAGACTTTATAGATACGTCGGCAGAGCTTAGAACTTTGTGGCAGCACTTGCCTAAACATTAATAGTTGCTGGCTTCGTGTTGCTTACTCCCATATAGCAATCAAGGATCTACCGTCGGCGGCGTGTCCAAGTCAAGTCCTGCCTCAACCTCTGTACGCTTAATCTCACCGCAGGTTTACTCGTAGCCTATGTCGATCTCATAGAGTTTGAACAACAGATTATTTGTATAAAATCGAGGAGCGAAGATTTGAAAACATCGTTACCTGTAATAAAATGACGCTCTGTGGCTCGTTGTATATATTGATTTGCTTTCGTCGACGACCAATATACAATGAATAGTTTTACCACAGATTCTTTCGAAATACACTATCTTGAATGAGAGAACAATACATAATTCTCAATGAATGGACACTTAACACGCCTCTGTTATTCGCTCATTGCACTGTGCAATGTCTGAGAACGTGGTTTCGCAAAAACAATAGGGATCATGCGTGCTATAAATATAACTATATTAGGTAGCGTTTCATTATTTTCCGATTATAGCTTAATAATCACTCCACCCTAGATTCAACTTAAAAAGTTACTCTGGCTTAACTTCCGCTGAGTTACTGACACACAGCGCTTAGATGACAATATGCTCAGGAAACATGAGTGAGCATTAACTGGGAATTAATTTGGTTATTTTATCTGAATTTATTAAGAAAAGGGGCGCATCCCTCTAAACCTAATAATACATGCCCATTTTGGGCTACGAGGCCAAAAATACCGCAAGCTATCAAGGGGAAATCAAAAACAAAAAAAGACCAGTTATTTTAATCGTCCAACAATTTAGTGGCAGAGAGCACACTAAATACGAGAAGTAGCTGATTTGCAAGTCACGTTTTAAGCCTTACGCCCGGAACTGGCGTTGAGCACTATTTTATACCGCGACACATTTGCTGCCCGGCTTGTTGAGCGGGAAAGCTGTTTATTTGAGTGAATATGGGGCTATTACAAAGGATTTCATAGGTGTTAATTTTTTATGCAGGGCATTACAAGAACGTTATCTGGCCTTGAATATGTATTGCACGTGATACTTCAGCTGCTAGATATTACTCCCTCCGCACGATTGAGTCCCAATACGCACAAAACTATGCTCGGATTTGAACCGAGACCACCAGCTGTCGCTAAGTTTCACTGGTAAATATGTTACGTACTTTATCATGGAAGGATCCGGCAATGCACAAAGAACACACAACTTTTTGACTGATGTAAAACAGTAGAAAAGTGGTAGCATCGAAACCCGCCAACAATATGTGAATTCGCCTTTGTCTAGTTAAAGAAAGCTATGTCTATATTTTTCTATATACCTTCAACTTTTTTTTTTTACAAAGATTGTTCCAAACTCTTCGAACATGGCCAAAAATGGCACCTCGCGCTTCCTATTCCTAAGTCATGAAACATAAATGCGATGTTTGTCATCGGCGCACAAATGGTTTACATGATTCATTAAGGCAGCAGGTTAAAGAAGATTCGAATGAGACCCAGCTCCGCTATTAGCATTACGCGTCATGTTATTGGTCAAGATACACGTTGGTAGAATGAAAACTTCTAGCTAATTATAAACTCCAATGGGTAAAAAAGATGTCCTCTTTATTCACTTAACAGTGCATTCGGGAAATGTGTAGCAGCTGGATCCGTCGAGAACTATTATGCGCCCTAAGTTCTTTCGTATGCTATGCTTTCGTATGAATCAACGCCGTCCGGGTTAGCTTACCCCATACCCGTTTGCCCAGAGTATTCTACTATCTATCTTTGAATCTCATCTTTAAAAATTTATTGTGTTTAGGGAGTTTCTTTGGACAACGATTGTTTTTGAAGTTCATTCTTAAATATGTGATGCCTTATGGAATAAACAAAGTTCAAGTGTGATGAAGATATTTATGATTTCCATCCACTACAGTCGTCTGAGATGGAAGATTGTGGATTAATATATATAATATATATATATATATATATATATAATAATATATTAGCCCCTCTGCGTTTCAACTGCACGAATGAGGACAAAGGATCAATAAGCAACAGTATGCAGAAACAACAGTTAGGTGTGCATCTGTCCGTGTTGCTGTGCTCCACTATGTTTATAGGTTGCTAGATCATTAATAAGTGAATTAATAACAATTTTCCTTTTTCTAATAATAGTAATATTTAAAAAAAAAATAGTAATCTTCCTATTTTGCGACATTTTCTCGTCTAATTTCAGTTAACTTGCGCGCTCTACGACTTCTTGACGAATAGCTTCTGCGGGACCAGTGAAAAGGATACTTTTAACGATTCCCGATTCTAACGATAACACACGGATTAAAGCGTCGACGTAGGTTTACGCGTAGCGAATATGTGAATCTTCTATTCTATATATCAGCGTGATACCTCATTTTACTTCAAATTTTTCTCACTTAAACAAAGGTGTGGAACTTGCACGTTTCATCGTTCCATAAGTGAGCACAAGCATTCTCAAATATTTATAACTTAATGCCCATCCAAGTTGCCCAGCAAGACCACTCCTTGTATTATGTAAGTTATCAAATGACTGAAGTATCGGCTGCAAGAAAATGTATAACTAGTTAAATGGTTAACAGTCATAAACAGTAAATAGGGCAGCAGTTAAATTGACTTCCAGTGCGACACAATCATCTTAACTCATTAGAACCACTGTTTCCGTTTTAGACGTAGCAACGTGATGGAAAAACGTAGAAGCACATGTGAAACCGTTCTCTGTACCGTAGTGCGATGATGTAATATTTCTTAGAAATTTAAGCGTTGCTAGTATTTCCGGAAAATCACAATTAAAACTCTTCAGCTTATCGAATTCTAATTGTTTCGGACTCTTACGTCCAGTATTGTTTCCGTTATGAGTTGTCTCAGACGGCTGGCTCCGTCCAACGCCCAGTTTTGAACCCATATCATTTCTGGTGTCCATAAGTTCAGTAGACGACAAGGTTGAATGCGTGCAGCCCACGATTTTTCTATCTAAAGAGGCCTAAAACTGGGAGATTATGAAGCACTCCAAGCATTCAAAAGTTGGCACTGAGAAACGTTTTCTTGTTTTGAAAGATTTCCGAATTTTGTGAACGAACGCGTTACCTGCACCCAATATCTGCCAGACAACTCACATGATCAGTTAAGGGGGGGTTGTAAGATGAATACTAATGAAATGAACATACGATACTCGTACGCCATATGCTTCTATATAACTAGTGTGCCACTCAAATGGCTACTTATCTACATAATTGAATGTTGATCTCAAAACGACCTTGAAATTTCATCGACGAACCTGGGCATTTTACGGAAGGTCTAAAAGAACCCGATTATTTGTTCCGGTGTCGCAATAACGACTAACGATGTCTGTGGTTCAGACAAATGTTTTCGTTGTTGGCCGAGCTAACATGTTTAGTTAAATATGGCCAGTAAATGCTATAAATAAATATTCACTCAAGCTTTAACAGCGATCATCATCTATCAGCTTCGATTATTGTTGTATAGAAAAGCGTGCGCATCTAATAGTTCGAAATAAAAATTCGGTCGGAGCAAAACTGGAAGCGACCGCTATTCTCTATGTGGCATCATTTTTAACCACATGAAAATGATGACTCTTGCTAAATCTATGTTCAGCTTCTATATGGTTTCATTATAAACAAGTGTTACTCTTAATCATTATTTTAGCATCTCTTTGACAAAATACAACAAGTGGATGGTAAGCAGATGTGTTTTGAGCGAGTGGGACGTCTTGCAGGGAAAAATCCATATACGTCAAACTATGCCAACATTTCGCAAATAAGTTTGCTTTTTTTCTTAAAAGACAGAATCGTATGTACATATGTCGTACAGTCTTCGAAACAGATGTCTAAAGCAATGTGCAATCCTTCACAGTTTGCGTTCTTCGAACAGAATTCGGTTTCTTCGAGTTTTACCTATTAATCGGAACTGGCACTTTTCCGGATAACGGGTGCGCACCTTGCGAGAACGCATCCTGACGGCGATGTCGCGGTGAGACCCAGATGCTAAACCCTGTTCTTTCTGAAGATGACATCTGCAGTATTTATAGCCAACTCTAAGAAAAAATTAGATAAATCTACGGAGTTTGCATACGAGCTATAATTAATGTTTTTGAAGGATTGGCTTTACAGGGCTCGCACAAGCCTTTATTTTACCTTTTTCAATTTGCTTTCATTATCGTGGTTGTGCAGGGAAGGCTCCCACGGTATCAGGCCTGACTGATAATTCACACTAAAACGTTCTCGAAATTAGCTGTGAGGATCGAAATTGGGATCAGCTATCTTTATTGTTCCTTAGGCGTAACTTCGCGTAAACGTTGCCTTTGGCTTGTCTCCAGATTACGTTTATTTCCATACTGATTCATAGCCATCTACTTACTACGAGGCTAGCGCTCGACGAGCGTACCTTCTATGCAAGCTTCTGTCATTAACGGTTTCCGCACGCTGTTTGTCGCCCGAACTCGATCAAAATATATACATAGAAGTGATAGATCCAACGAAACTACTGGTGAACAATTGAGATCATGTGATCGATAGCAGCGATGTTCTACTTAGACAGAACTGTGTGAAGCTTTTTGAAATGACAGCTTCAAAGACGACCGTAAAACTGATTTGTCAGGGCGGCAACCGATTTTGTCCACAGGGGGTGAGTGTTAATAAATAACAGATGATTTTTATAAACACTGTCCCCGAAGATGTTTGTATGTATGTTGTGAGGCGTTCTATAGGACATCTAAGCGGGTTCGTGAAGGCAGGGTGGGTCTGAATAAGCCGTTTTGCGTTGAGATTTTTTGCACTTGCTGTACATGGCAATATAATCGGTGGAACCGCGCAAAAAAAAAGTTAAACAAACATAAATTGGCTACAATTGCCGAAATGGTTGCGTGCCCGGCCGACCTAGCTATATATGTAAGCATTATTAATAATAGCCGATGATGTTCTTAAATTAGATTATTTGAAGTTCTTGTATATATATGTAGTTCTTGTATATATATATATATATATATATATATATATATATATATATATGTAACAATAGTGGATTTGATTTTATTAATATTTATGAATTTTCGGTTACGTTTATTAATCGATAAACTAAGTGGATGTTATTAAATGGAAATCATCTATAAATTCAGTGAATATAAAATCGGACGCCAGATAGAAGTGGAATTGTCTAACGCCAATTTGACGTGTGAATCTCTACATGTATCACTGGGAGATAACGACTTACTATGAAGCTGAGGTTTTTTCTTGCCTTTATTCTAAATCTTTCTGTCGAACAGAGATAATGGCGTTCCCACAAATGATCATCTTTCATTCCTCTATTTGTTTTACACATGTATCAATTAAAGGTTTTCGGCTCACCTTTCCTGTGAACTCTATTTACTGCACGGCTATCGGCCATATTGCAGATGGACTTCCTGGCCGAGAACAGCCCCTGTGGGCAAACTCTACTTAGAATCGTGTCGCAGGGTCACACCATCATTGCCAAATTGACTCGACTCTCATCAATGATACCTTCGCAACTGAGCGATGATCGATATTCCGACATTCTACTGGATTTCAGTTACTTCAAAAACATCGACGCGTTCGAAAAGCGGCTTGACAATGAGCCGCGAATAGCCGAAATGGACGAGGTATTTAAAGAAAATCATCTTGAGTCATTGTCGAAGTTATATCTTGCATTCGAGTGTGTTTATAGTTATACCGTTGAATTAAATCAGTTTCTCGAGGAGCTCAACGAAGGAGTCTACATGCAACAGAGTCTCGAATCCGTTCTCGACAACGTTGACGGCAAACAGTTGCTTGCCGAAGCATTGTATATATGCGGTGTGATATTATTGTTCATTGACGAAAAGTTCGAGGGAACGGTTCGTGAACGAATACTTGTACTGTATTATCGGTATTCAGCGCAGAAGTCCAACATCGACTCAAACATGGATGACGTGTGCAAACTTCTTCGCTCGACGGGATACGTGGCTCGAAGCAAAACGCGTCCTGCTGGTTATCCCGAGGACTACTTCAAGAGAGCAGGTGTTGATCTAGGCTTCGTTGTATTGCTCTTGGGCCGCCTGCGCTCCGATGACATCTACAATCAGATCCCGTTGTATCCGCAGCCGGAACATCGTAGTGTGGCGCTGGCGAACCAGGCGGCGCTGATCTACATTGCACTATTTTTCTATCCAAAGATCCTCCATGGCGAGCCAGCCATCATGCGCGAGATTGTAGATCGGTACTTCCCTGACAACTGGGTGATAGCCACTTACATGGGCAATGTCGTGAACTTAATCGATGCCTGGGAGCCGTACAGGGCAGCAAAGGCGGCCTTGCAAAACGTCCAAGATTTGAAGGCCGTTCAGACGCGTTGTGAAAAAATGCACAGGCAAGTTGAAGAGCTGTTAGCTCAAACCGAGCAGCTTCTCAACGAGGGTGTACCCACTTACGAACTGGTACTCGACGAAGTGCAAAAGCTATTGGCTGCTGCAAGAATGCGGAACGTGGTTCTTCGTTGGCTACTGTTGCATACGGCCATGGTTCCGGACACGGTTACGAAGCGGGCCCGCCAGCTGCGCGATATCGTCCTGCAAAAGCACGACGTGCTCCAACTGTTCAAGCTGTTGCTGGTCACAGCGGAATTCGAACACAAATTTAGGGAAATCTATCGGGAGCTGTTGCGGCAGAAGAATGCTAAATGGGAATTCTTTAAAAAAGAGAGTAATGAAAGACTTCAGGAGCTCTCTGAAGTCTACTCTGGTAGTAAGCCACTTAACCGGATTGAAAAGAACGAGCAACTGCAGGGATGGTTCGAGGCAACCGTTGAGCAGGTTACCAATCTTAGCCATGAAAGTCCAGTTGCTGATAGCAGAAAGATCGTTCAACTGATCGACGCGCTGAACAAAGTTAAACAGTATCATCAAATAGAAGGTGAATTTATACATGGATATTTAGAACTAAATGGAATATTTGTTCATCAGATACATATTTGGTTGGGGGCACTTAGTTTAAGATAGAAAAGTAAAAGAAATATTCGTTAAGCCTCAGCTAAAGCCTTGAATGATCCTAACTGATACATTTGTTTTCCTTTTTTTTTTGCTATAAAATAGATAGTGTTAAAAAAATGCTCGTTAAAAAAATAAATAAAAAATGAAAACAAATGATACGAGACTATAACGTTTATGCTTGTCACGGTGTTTGAATAGGTTGTATTCAAGTGAGGCAATTTGTCGATGAAAGCCGGCAATTTCTGCACTGTATGCTACGCCTGCTGTCGGTCAATGTTGAACTATTGACGAAATTGGATGTAATTGTAGATGTTTCGTACGCTTGGATACTAATTGATGCCTATACAGCCCATATGCAACGCAGCATAAAAGAGAATCCTGGAACAGTTGTGAAACTGAGGACGATTTTCCTAAAGCTGGCATCGGCTCTTGATCTGCCCCTTAGGCGCATCGTCCAGGCAAGATCACAAGGTAACATGCGTCAAAATTTAATCGAAAACAACCAAAGTGTATCCGCTATTCATACTTAGAAGTAATATATTCTTATACGCTTTAAATTGATTTACACGAGCTTAAATTAAAATCTAATATATTAGCTTTGTATAGATTAATAAGTATTTCATCTGATTATCATTATTTGAACTTGTCCACAGCCGCTTCGCATAGCAATTATGTATGCGAACTACTAACACTTTCAGCTGAACCTAGTAAGACTATTTTTCCCTTAGCAAATACCAACATTTTTAATCATATAGTCACTATTGTATCAAGCACGAGCATCATCTATTATAGTGTGTAACGTTATACATATTGTGCCGTCAATTTCCAGATGTGGAAGCCGTATCTGCCTTCTACTCACAGGAGCTAGTCAGTTATATACGACGGGTGTTTCATATTATTCCCGAGACGATGTTTTCTCTGCTGGCTCGTATTATCAAAATTCAAACAAGCCACCTTCAACAACTGCCTCCGCGTCTAATGAAAGACCAGTTAAAACACTTCGCCCAGATCGATGAGCGTGTCGAAGTTGCTAAGCTGTCCCACGACATCAGCGTTTTCACTGATGGAGTCCTTGAGATGAAAACCACATTGGTCGGTATCGTCGAGATTGATCCGAAACAATTACTTGAGGACGGAATTCGAAAGGAGTTGGTTAATCAGCTTAGTCTGTCGTTGCACAATGGTTTGACGTTCTCGTTGAAGCCGAAGCCGGGCGAAATGATGGAAAAGTTGAGTGCTCTCTCCAACATTATAAGCCGATATTATCGATCGTTCGAATACGTCCAGGACTACATCGGCATCAGGGGCCTGAAGATGTTTCAGGAGGAGTTTGCACGTATAGTCAACTACAATGTCGAGCAAGAGTGTAACATGTACCTCCGGCAGCAGATACACGACTGGGAATCGGAGTATCAATCACGGGAAATTCCTATCCCGAAGCATCCCCCGATTGACGGGACAGCTGCGAATTTTGTCGGGCGTTTGGCAAACGAACTTTTCCGCTTAACCGATCCAAAGTCGACGATCTATGTCGACTCGCTGTGCACCTGGTACGATCGAATAACGCACAGGAAAGTCATTATCCTGACAGAATTTTCGCTACTACTTCGGGCGGTAGGAGTCGTCGGCATGGTTGGATTAGATAGGGTGTACTCGTTTCGAATTGCTACTGAACTTAAGAATATGACTGATTCACTGGCGAAAACCCTTGACACACAGATCTGGGTAGAGGGATTGGGCGCGGTGCAACGGACTATGAAGAAAACTCAGCCCGAGGCTATGGCAAAGCTGTGGGCGTCATCGGCTGCAAAAATTGCCAAAGTCTACCCGAATTTGGTCGCAGCGTTAATGCGTGTCGGACAGATGATTCTTCTCCGACGCCATATCGGTCATGAGCTTTACAAGAATGCAAAATTCAACGGGAAAAATTTATCTGCCGCTCTGACAAACCTAAACGATGCGATAATGTTGCAACTGCCTGAACGGACACAGCCAGCTGACAACGAATTTATTGATCGACTTTCCAACTACCTTAAATATACTGGACTATACGAGCCGGTTCGACAGATCTACAATGAGCAACCAGCGCACCCGATTCCGAATCTGGCCATGTTCATGGCACTTTTCACCACCACATGTATGCCGAAGTTTGCTTATTCTCGAACGGTTGGCTGCCTCACAGCCAGAAGCAAACAAACGATAGATTGTGTCCCCTTCACGTTGGGCGTTTTTGTGTTTCTTGCACAATTTCATTTAGACTACAGCGAAGATTATGTAGGCCTACTCTGTCAATACCTAAAAACATGCGCCTTACCACTGATAGCGGTTGGCCGAAGCGACCCGGACCTCACCAGCCTGTTAACATTTCTCGACTACGCCAGCGTTGAACTACACTGCATCGATAGGCAATTGCTGTGTAAGCATTTACCAGAGTTTGTTCTTACGCAGTACAAAAATTTGCTCATCCTCTAAGGTCCAGGCGAGGTTTAAGTTGAGGGATTTGCCCTTGAATGAGAAGGAATGGACACGTATTGACGAAGACTATGAACATGATTAACTCGCTAACTCGTTGATTTTATAACAGATAATACTGGCACCCCTGGCAGAACTCGATAGATGAAAAGTGAAAACAAAGGAGAGGCAGGCGAAAAGCTATCTAAGTGATTAAAAAGGTGCTATGCCGCCGGTCAAGCTGGGATATAGGGAACAAGACAGGGGCGGTTGCAATCGTGTATAGGTGCATACCTACGAGGGAAATCAGGTTACAGCTATAATATGATCTACAACAAGTTGTGCAGTAGTGTTTTGAATGACACTGAAATATAGATATATGGAAAAATCGCATGACAGAGAGAAAACGAGAGGCTATAAAGACACGCTGCTAAATCGAAATCATGAAGTTGTCGACCTATTTCGTTGGGACTCTCGAGAGGTAAAAGTGTTATCGCTTCTCAAAGTGACACCTGTATTCTGGCAATGTCCAGTTAACAATTGTTTTATTCAATCAATCGCTGGTGTGAACCGTGAAAAAATAAAACCAACTCCATATTTGCCTTGGAGTTTTAATGACTATGACAGGAGCACTTGTTTCGTCGATAATGCACAATTTTTAATAGTATTGTTATCCTTATCAATGTGTAATTTTAACGAGGTTACATTCGAAAAATTGAACCTTTTTTATCTTGCGGTGTTGCCTCTAGAAAATTAGAACAGATCGCGTTGGAACCCATCCGGACTATTTTATACGGTTAAGGGACGTCTGCAATGTACATCGTCTTGGCTAATCCTAGTTATTATTTAGAATGATTTATTACAATTTTGTCTTGCAGTTAAACCGAGACACTGGTGTTATCGAGAGATTAATTAATTGATTCCCTCTTTTCTTGTTTTGTTATTTTCCTATTAACAATCATATAAATCTATTTTAGGGTACGACGGCCAACTCGGTGATGGACCCCTGTGTGTCCTTGCACAGTGTGATTTTACGGAAATTTAAATAATTTACAGTAACTTGACAGGAGCGACAAGCGAATTAATATTTTTATAACTGTTACAAGTAAACGGCACTATATATATATGGGAGTTCTGAAGAAATAACGTTTGCTTTAATCGCTCTCGTGCATGCTTTACCTAAGTTTATTGAGCAAGAAGTTTGATGTGACGTTATATACTATGAATAAACACACGTATTTTATTACAATTGCAGTAGATTCAATTATGTACGCTATTCGAAACCCAAAATCAACCATAAATGTTTGAAGGAAAAATGAGCGTGTTTTTAATCACATTACTTAATTAACATTGACAAAATCAGCACACGCCCATTGCTGCTTCAAATTCTAGTGTATGTTGATAAATCAAGCACGACCCACAAACGCTGGACTTTAATTTGAATAAACTCCATGATGCTGGCCAAGGATTTGGTTACACAATAAAGACATGCGTTTAGTTAAAAGGAGAAATTAAATAAAAATCAGCGGCACAGAACCCAGACAAACAAGTGTTATATACGTGGATATATCGTACACCCAGTGGTGAGTACTGAAACGGACTCGAAAATACTCAAATAGTTACAAAAAATGTAGTTTCAATTTCGGTCGGTTAATCGCTAGCCGCCAGCGATGGGACCTCCTCATCGCCACTATCTGATGAGAGCCGTGCGACAGTGGAGAGTGAATAAATCCGCTTCCGGTAACAGATCACAGTGGCCTCATGACCAATTCGTACGCGTTGTGTAGCAGTACCTACGTGGCCCCGTTCTGGTATGATATAACTTGGAGATCGTGTTCGGAGCGAACAAATGGGTTATTTTAAAAAAAAAAATGAACCAACGCCTTTCCTACGGACCCAGTCGGCACGCCGACTTGATCCTCAAACGTGTAAGAACGAAAGTCCTTCCAAGGACAAGATTAAACGGGCTAGTTGGTAGTGGATAAGTTGCAGTGCTGTTTCCTGTTTAACTTTAAGAAGTCAGAAGATAATGAGCAGCCTTCAGCAGACAAACCTGGCCGCAGCCGGCCTTTTAATCGACGTGCCGGCGTCTTTTGTTGTAGCTGCAGGTAATGCGGATGCTAAAAATCAACTGTTCGCGCATGTGGCTGGTGGGATCAAGCTCGCCAGAGGATTTTGCCAGCTGTTCTACTTGGAGTTTAATATCGACATCGAGGTGAGGACGCTGGACTAATGGGCCGCACCGCATGCCGAGGCTGAGACAAGTTGTATCAATCGTATTTTTGAAGCATATTGACGTGTGGCCTCGGGTGCGGGTCGCCAAGCAGGCCTTCCGGCTTATTGATGCATGAAAGCAGCTTCTGATTATCGGGAGGAAAGTCAAACAGAAAGTGGGCGGGAAGTAGGTAAAATTTTTTTGCTGTCGTTGACAATCTGTCGCCTGTTATTGTCGGGAGGCCCTTCCTTTCCATTTTGACCAATAAACAGCGTAATATGTCGCACCGCTCATAGGTAGTTTTTTCCATTCCATTCCATCGGTTTTTACCCAGTCGTTACCAGGAAGAAGTCAGCCGATGCCCCCTAAATCGTCGAAGTGATTGCTGACAGCAGCTGGCTTGCTAATTATCGTCCATCAATTAGTGAACCGCCATATCCTGGAGCGCGAAATAAGAGTAGGGTTTAGGAGTATGCTTGCAATGGACAGCGGCTACAACCAGACGCTTACGGATCTGCCAGCATGGCGTCTCGCAAAAGTCGATCTGTAGTTAATGAGCCACTGGGCGTCCTAGGACATGCTTTTTCTCGTTCTCATAAATGAACACTGCATTCGTTTCATTTACCCTCCTCTAGCTCGAAAAATAGAACTTGAGTAATGGGAGACGCGCTGTTTGCCCTTCAGGATCATTACAGGGCCATAGACGCAGTCGTCATGGACAACGAAAGCAGTTTTCGAGGGCGACATGGCAATCAGTACTTACAAAACGCGCTTCATCATTGGCCACGAGAAAACCGCTAGATAATCCGCTTGCAAGCGGAATGGTAGGGCGATTGATCTGCACAACTTGGGAAGGGCTATTTGCATGGTTGCTTAAGCTGTTCAGTTTCCCTGTTCCCGTTATGCCTCCAAAATTGTCTTCAGAAAGGGATAACGGTAAGCAAGGCCCTAGGCGGAACTTTTTTCGAGTTGCTCCACGGGTTTAAAGCCACACTGCCTGATGGGCCTTCAGAATCTCGGTCAGTTCAAGTGTCCAGCCCCTTTGAGTCTGAGCTTTAAAAAGCAACCCACATCCAAGTCCTCCAGCGGAGATGGGTGCCTGGAACAACACCTTTTTTGTCCCGTCACTTTGGCCTGGGGAGTCGGTCCTTCATGAAGGCTCCTTGTCAACAGTCCAATACGTTTTTGAAATTGCTGCCAAAGTTCAAGTCTTTGTGGAAGGTTGAAGTGAGTCGCGCAGTACACTTAATGACAATTTTCAATTATCATTTTACAATACGGAGAAAAACTAACTACGTAAAGGCCGTATTCCTGGTTGATTTGCATATTGTACACTGCTTGATTTCAGTTTCATGGAAAATGTAACCTATGTCAAAATATTCTTGGGCCAGAAATACGAAATAGTGCGCTCGAACAACAATGTACAAACTAGATATACTCTATAATTACTTTCACTAATAATTTTTAAAATCTGATGACTATTATTATTAAATATTTTTGGTCTGTATTTATTGGTCGATAGTCTGAAACGTAGCTAAATTGCATATAAGCGCAACATAGTTATATATGTGTATAGATAGACTTAGCCTCGCTACATATATATGTTCGATCATTATGAAATACAAATTATTATGAAAGACAATTTTTTTAATATTTATTATTTGTCTCATCAACACGAAAGTTAGCGTCTACCTAATATGAATAGCCACTGAGAATTGTAATCGCGAACGCATTCGTTTAAAAAAATGTGTTCGTTGTGCTCGTAGTTAGATTATTTTTAGGAATATTACTTATTAAATGTAATAAGTTTCTCTTTAGACTAAATATACAACATTCCTACAAAAAAAAACTATTGAGAGAAAATATTACTATTGATAGACTGAAAATTGTTTGAAACCTCGAGTTGAATCAAACCTTTACTTATCTTTTACTGTGCCATAATATTTGACAGGGTTGTCTATCAAGGTATCCTGCCTAATATAACATTGTTTTTCCACTCCATCTATATATAATGGCCTAAGATTTCAAAATATTCGAGTTTGGTACTGCCCAAGTAAAAGACAGATTTAAATGGATGGCTGCCCTTTACACTACGAACGAATTAGTCCTTGTTTCAAACCTAGACTACTAAATGTTTCCATGTTTAGTAAGCAAAGATATTATCTTTTACGTTTAATAGGCAAAGATATTATCACTCCATTCTCACAGAGAGGCGTAAAATTCATGTAAGGTCTCTTGTATATAATTTCTACTCTGTAGCCTTCTTCATTTTTTTGTCAGCGAATCGTATCTGCGCGGGCTTGAATTGGCGCCACTCGCGCGCGACCAGCGCCATCTAGCGGACGCCAAAACGGGCAAGATCGCGGCGTGGCGTAACCTTTTTCGCGACGAGGGCTGACCGTGACGGTTGGGTGGTAAGCTGAAGCCCCGTGGAAACACGAAGTGCTGATTACCCCACGTCTCCAAACGAGTTGTTGAAAGACACTCGACATGGCGTTCGTCAAGGTCGTCAAAAACAAGGCCTACTACAAGAGGTTCCAGGTGAGTTTTCGTCGAAATCAAACCTTCGCTCGACAAAATCCTCAAGATACTACTGAATTTGCTCCGTGTGTTTGTGTAAACGTGCAATATATCGCTCGTTAACAGCGTTATGCTTGTTGCCGTTGCGGGATACCACGTGTGGGTCGTTAGTGTTGCTATTTCAGCGTCGTAGTGGAGTATTGCGGCATAGGCGTGTGCTTGTGAGTACGGATAATATTCGTTAGAGTCGCTGTGAAATTGTGAGGTGCAATGAAGGCAGCGGCATCACCAATGGGAGCGGGTGACGTGCTTAATGCAGTTGATCAATGAAGTCGGCTAATTGAAGGCGAAAAAGCCTCTACGTAGGATACGGCAAAACGTACATTAACGATTATATTATAGCCAATGTTTGTGATACCTGTAATGGTGTCATTTGACCAGTGCATCGTAGTGTTGGCTTGTGAAAAGCTTGTTATCCCATGGAACTGTGGATGATCGTGCGCGATATATCGCCTCGTTAAAAAGTGTCTTGAGAAAACGACATCGCGTTGAACATCTATAGAACATGTTCCTTCACGAACATGTTTCTTCACATCAGTTAACTGGTTAGGTTGAGGTGCTGCTTGAAAACTGTATATGTATTATGCCTGATGTCCAATTTTGCTATCATCGTTACTACTACTATTATTTATTCTAATGCTAACAGGTTAAGTTCAAGAGGAGACGTGAGGGTAAGACCGACTACTACGCTCGTAAGCGTTTGGTCGTCCAGGCTAAGAACAAGTACAACACCCCTAAGTATCGTATGATCGTTCGTGTGACCAACCGCGATATCATCACCCAAATTGCCTACGCCCGCCTTGAAGGTACTATTTATAAGAGCAAAACCTGGCCATACCTTTTAGGGATGTGCAATTAGATCATAATGTGCACCCTGGGATTCAAACGTCAGTTCTCGCTAGGCTGTTCGCTAAAGCACGTAAGTGCACGGATTAAAATAATGCTACTGTCAAAACATCGCTCGTTCTATAGCTTTGATGGATTTCCGTGTAACCGTACGGTACGGAAGCGAAGCGTGCTCTCTTTTAAGTAAGGGTTTTTATAATAGAAGTCCAGTCTCCGTTAGTACAAGAAAATTATTGCTTTCCTACATATTGGGTCAGCCAATGCCTTCATGTCATTATTCACAGGTGACGTTATTATTTGTGCTGCATACGCATCGGAACTTCCTCGCTATGGAGTAAAGCTCGGTCTTACCAACTATGCGGCGGCATACTGTACCGGCCTGTTATTAGCGCGTCGCCTACTGCAGAAGTTCAAGCTTGATACCATCTATAAGGGTCTTGAGGAGGCCACCGGCGAAGACTATGAAGTTGAGGACGTTGATGATAAACCCGGTGCATTCCGCTGCTACCTCGATGTCGGCCTCGCCAGGACATCTACTGGTAAGCTATCATCGATTCGATAAGTGGGTCATGTCTGAATTCGATGGGACGCACGCTTAACATATTGTTTAGTCAGTTCTTTTGTTCTACTTTTCAAAACACCACCACTGTTCATATTGTTGTCTGGAAATTTACATCTATTGCTTTGTTGTTACCGTGATAACGCAGTGTTATCGTATTTTAACTGCTAAACTAAAAGACATGAAGGTTTGGAGTAAATCCGCGTAGACATATTTCATTTCGTGATGGAAAGAGCCAGGGTGACCGCCTGGCAATGCCAAACGTGAAGTTCGGAAACAGGTACTTGAAACAAATGAACTTCGGTACGTTGGTTTGCCCTTTATCATAGCATCAATAAGTGCAACTCACTTGTTCGATGTTACTTCAAGGGCGCAAAGCACCATCCTCTTAAACAGGTTTTGAGGCATTTTCATGGATCACTGCCTTACGTGAGCGGATAACAAAAACATGATATACTTTCAATGTCACTGATCTCTGGATAATCATACGAAAACGATTCTTGTAGGGTAACATTATTCCATTATGTTTACAACGCTTCCTTAATCAGATGTTGGCCAGTTGATTCCCTCAACTGTTGCGAGCCCTCGTCTCGTGAGGGGAGCGAAAACCGAAAGTCTGCAATTTCACTCCATGCAACGGCTGAGAGCCTTGCTGGACTCACGTTGTCGAAACAGTTGACCATTTGATATGTATGTCTTTCGACTAAATTATTCAATCAATTCGTGTTGAAAATTGGGATGAGGGATCTCTCTGTAACTTCAATTATTAATATAGATTGCTTCGTATCGACATCTTTTTTTTTGGTAAAATACTTATGCAATGATAGTACACATAATATTAGTTATGTGACAGATGAACCCTACTAGGGAAGCTGTAGCTGTTAGATGTGTAGTAACGAGATTGCCTACTAAACTTAGGGACACGTGATAGTCTACAGGCGCAGACACTTAGCTGGTCGAAGCCAGCCATCGAATGCTATGGAAACATTTAGGCATTGTGCACAATGGTATTGCTAGGTATTATTTTGAATCGTGACTAGCACTCTTGTTGGTAAACTACGATTATTGCTACCAAATGTGGGCCATTTAGACTCTACATAGATTGTCATTTTCAGGTGCGCGTATCTTTGGCGCGATGAAGGGGGCCGTTGATGGTGGACTCAACATCCCACATTCGAACAAGCGTTTTCCCGGCTACGACGCCGAGTCGAAGCAGTTTAACGCTGATGTGCATCGACAGCATATTTATGGCCAGCACGTTGCCGACTACATGCGTTCGCTTTTAGAAGAAGATGAAGAGGCGTATAAAACGCAGTTTGCCCGTTACGTAAAGGAGGGTATCTCGGCGGATGATATCGAGGCGTTATACAAGAAAGCCCATGCAGCCATCCGCCAGGACCCGGTCCATAAGCCCAAGCCAAAGAAGACAGTCGAGAAGAAGATATGGACCGCGCAGCCGATGACGCGCGCTCAGAGGAAGAGCCGTGTCGCCCACAAAAAGAAGGCTTTCCTGAAAAAGCTCGACGCCGGGGATGCTTAGACGTAGCTGTCAATCATAGACCTATAAAACAACGTTGAAGTTCATGCAATGATAATGACGTTGTGAAGAAAAAACGTACTCTGCCGGACGACCGGCGCTTGCCGGTTTGGGGTGGGAAGACAACCGCCGTCGAAATATGGGGATAACCTGGACCTACAAAAGAAATAAAATCTGAAAATGGCGGTTGAAACAAATCTGTGCTCATTTATAGATATAATCGATAGATATTTACAAATTCAAATAGTTAATCATAGATGTTATTAAGCGAGAATTTTGGGGAACTATCGAGGGTTGTCGATTCCACATTAGCGTCTTAAACGGTATGCTGTATTGTTCAAAAAGCACGTGCGTCAACGAACTTGATATCTGATATTGAACTGAAATAGGCTCTATTTATAGTTACGATATTCTCATCTAGATCATAAAATATATATGGTGTTCAAGAATGCGAATAATTCTACTCTATCTACCATTTTGCCGTCGTTACCAAATCCTTTCTAGTACATACCCTTAGTTCAACAAATACCATGTACGTTGCATTTTCCGATATCATCTGTAGCACCTGTGTACATGCAGAAGATATTGGGCCAACGGAAACAGGTTAGCCAAAGAGGTCTTGATAGGAAAACCCATGATGACAAGGACGCCCAGGTTTACAGAGTTGCACGACACTTCAAGGTCCACTGGCAAAAAAGGGAATTGGCCTTGATATTTCAATAGCGCATAACACTCCCTCAAACCAGTGTCTTGTACGAACTAGTGAAGATCCGGACTGAAATGAATAGTTACCAAACAAGTGAAAAAGCAAAACATGCAAGAATAACATCTTCCGGGATTTTCTATTTATATGGCATGGCACTCTACTTGTCACAGTTTATTTTTGTCAGTTCTAGCGATTTACTTAACTACATTGAGAAGTGAAAAATACGAAACGTGAACTCTGCAGGATTAGCTTTAATTGACGCGGTGGATCTTGTAGCGTTAAATTGCCTGAATGTTTGGAGTGCGGTGCCGTTTATAGAGCATCTGATAGGTAATACACTTTGGCTGCTGTTTTATTGATGTTATCGTAATTAAAAGAGGAGTGCGCTCAACGGAGCAGCGATCTACTGGTACGACGCTGTTCTTATTTTAACCATGAGCTTCATAGAACTTATTTTTTCTGAAAAATATATTTTATGAAGGTACAACGAAGTTGACTTAATTTCTCAAACAGCGAAAATACGCTCAAACGGGCTCACAGAGCCGGAGTGCTTTTAACGGGATGACTTTTAAAGCCAGTGCGGAATTACTACAAACGGCTTTATTAAACCACTTTTTGTCTGAAAGTTTGTCTGTATTTCACCGACGCAGCAAGTTGTTAAATATTAAATACATAAAACCCTAAATTTGTTCTAACTACAAAAAACAAGTGCGAATATGTAGCGTATCGCTCACGCAGTCGTTTTTTTCATTTGTAGAAATACATTGAACATGGAATCGCTTTTGTATCTTTGAGTAGTAAATGCCGTATTAGTAAAAAGAACTAAGACCGTAAGATAGCCTACATTATAAACATACCTAGTCCTATTGTCGCATAGGCTGATACTACCCATTTTCTTGTCAAGCTATGAACTTAAACGAGTATCTTCATTTAAAATTAGGTAATGATTTTCTGAATACATAAAAAGGGAGATTAGGTCGCATCGATGTCAACTTATTTTACGCTAAAACTAAACATTTCCTGTTGGATAGCAACAATCCTAGTTTGTGTGCTCACTTTTTCCTCTCAATTCACTTTTCCAATTTCCAAGCCATAAACACTAAACATTTTGATACGCTGGTGTTTTTGTGCTGGTGTGCATTCTCTACCATTTCTCTTCACGTAACTAGTCTGCGTTTGGTGTATTTTGCAAATTCTCTGCTCCAGCTTTGAACTTGAATCGTTATTGAGGCTGCCATTTGTTTTACGAGAAGCAACAACCCAATCGCCTGAATCTTTTGATAATAGACGAATATATTTACGGTATTTTTCTTGAGTCATTACACAAAAGTATCTTGTGATCGGCTTCGATATTACGCAAAAACAAGCTTATACGCACACAATTGTCAATCAAAGAGAATGAAGAATCATTTAGCTGAGCTTCGATACCATTTCGCTGCAGACGTCACTAAGATATTCTGTCAATTAGTGTTAATTGTTATGAAATATGCAGCAAATTATCATACAAAATATTCGATCACTAAATGGCATTAGACATGGCTCCGATTAGCGAAATTTGAATATTGGCGCTTTCTCCCTTACTTTCACAATTTCGAACTTTTGTCGCATGCCACTTGAGTCCGCAAAATATCGTCTGCACACGTTTTTTTAACTATTGAAGAAAGTTCAGATACGGCGAGCGCTTACGATGTGCAGCACGTTGCCCCCGAAGGATGTTGAATTTGATAGTTTTCTAACGTTACATCGAGCACAGCTCGAAATGAGCTGTGTTCCGGAACACTTTTGGCCAACACTTTGCCGAAAGCTACGCGACGAGACGTACGACGCTGGTGATAACCTGATTTTCGCTCGAGTGCAAGGCGAGGTTTGAACAGCTGGTTCGATGCTCCCAAGCATTCGACAACATGCGGGCGCCGACGTTGCTTAAATCGGATTTGAATTGTCTTTTGTTTAAAATATTTGTTTGTTGCTGATTGCTGATAAAAGAGTGTACAGTCTGCGCTAATTGATTAACGTTGTGTATGTTACTTCGGTTGTTCGCTGCCAACCCCGTTATTTTTATTATAATATTTACATTTATATGTAACTTATTTTTCTTCGGGACTTGTAGCTGTTAGTTTGACTTCCGAGAATATGAAAGTCTCGTGTATATATTCGAGTAGTTCTGTACAGTTAGTTCGAGTTAGTTTCTGTACAGGTGTTATCGATGGAATGATTAGGTAGTGGAATCAATTTACGTAAGCTGCAAAGGTGCAAGGCAGCACAGTAACTTGCGTTTTTGAAGTTTTGCGCACAGTAAAGTGCGTGATTGAATTCCCTACCTAGCCTATTCACATGGCAAATTCCTAAGTTCTACAAAAAAGGTTACGACCAGGTTGGACAGTATTGATAAACAATACGCTGGTCTTCTGAATGCATGCGACTGATAACCTACGTGCTATTAGAGACTTCTTTTGTTTTAAGAGTTACCCCCTGCACGCCGCTTAAGGAAACGTGTGTATTTTGTTACAGAAAATGTAATGCTATTATTAACCAACTTGGTCTTTCGTTAAATATTATATACGCAGAACTCGCGAAAAAACAAGGTGCTTAAAACCGCAGTATGGGCTTGTTCTAACGTCTATGGTTAAATAAGAATTGATTTATGACTTAAAGATTCTTAAACCCGTTAGGTTTAAGAAGAAGAAGAAGAAACACGGGTGGCACTTTGATGGTTTTTACAGTAAAATAGATGTTATGAAAATATAAAATGGGTGCGAGCACGCTAGCTTAACTGGTTTCACTTCTTTTTAATATTTATCATTGTCGGCACGGTAACCATGACCAACGTAATTTCAGTGCTGGGATAGATAGGTACAGTGCCCGTTTAAGAAGAGAGAAACTTCGCAAAATATTCGACTTCCCCCTGCTGCACTTTTGTTTCTTTTATACAATAACAATAATAATAGTAATGAATAATAGAATAATAGAACACTTGCGATCGACAATAAACAAAAGCAAGGTGCTGGTTCGAAAAAGTAACTTCTTATCATTTTGACATTGGTTTATTGCTGCAAACTAATGCTTCTTCTATTTTGTGTTCCTTGTCAACTACGTAACAGGATGGCGATGTCGAAGTGGTTGTTTCGAGCGAAAAGGGCATCGATAGAATGGATCCATCGCAAATTTACCTCTGCGACCACGCGTGGACATTTCGGTAAGCTTATGCGTCAGTTAATATTGCCGTGATTTCAATATGATTTATGTTAAAACAGGTTTTCTATACGATTCTAAATGTCTTCTTCTATTACCTAAAAAAGTACTTTTATTGAACTATTACTTCCCTATGTGTATCCTTTGAATAAACCTGCCACTCAATATTGGATAGAAGAGTTAACAATGGTGATACCTTGGTGTTTGTTCGAAGCCCTAACGATGTACGTCGAGTGCTGTCATCAAACGCCGCTCTTAGAAGTCGATTGGCCGCCATGATGGACATTGATTCGAATTCTCTCGATGAAGTTCTGCCACGGGTGTGGCGGTTCGCTCAAACGTATTCACTAAACACCGCTCAAGCAGAAGATGCCGTTCCTATCTGGTGGAGTAAACCGATAGCCTAGATAATAAGCTGAATAGGCTTTTAGTAAATTAAACAAAGAGGGGCCTTTTCTAGACATGTCGGCGCATTCTTTTGGTGCTTTGTTTCAAAGACAATTAAGTATTAAACTATGGGTCAACTTAGATGTACATGCGTGAGTGATTTTGTATATATGCTATATAAACATCGATGAACATACCGATGTATGTACTTCAAAAACTTAATTTCACATTTAAAAACAACTTTTCTGTATTTCGCTCCGCAGAATTAATTTCTAATCAATTTTTTGTTACATGGCGTGTGTTTACAATTCGAAAGGAGATGAGATAATGATACATGGTAGCTGAGTGCTGCTGGTACTATTAAATATATGGATGTTTCTTGCAGTATAAAATATATATATATATATATATATATATATATATAGTATAAAATGCCGAGTTAAAGTTTGAACGATTATAGTTCAGTTTTCTTTGTAGGGTGGGTTCAAGCTTATGCAGGCAATTTTACTAAATAGAGAAAAAATAAAAAAAGAAAACTTATTGGTAAATATGACCGGCCGTAATTCACGTCACATATAGTAATGCCTACGTCAGTGAGTGGTTATATCTAAAATTTCCGAAGAAGTGTTCTTAAAAAAAGACTTTTGAATTTTTTTTACTATTTCATACGTGCTGTTCTTCAGGTATGTTATGGATGAACTTGGCTCAAGTATTAGTCATTCTCGAGAGCCAAACTTTCGGTTGGTTCCGTTTTACTACCATCCACGCCAAGTGGCTTATTCGCTTCTGTTCCCAATAGAAAATGCGAAAATGAATGAGGTTGTAACCCGGAATTACGTTGAAGGGCCTTTTACGGACGAGGCTACGGTGAGGGCGTTATTGTTACCGTGGTACGACTTCAACTTTACTGAGAACACAGACTTCCAGCAAGCAGAGTCTGAAGAGCAATTTTTTCAAAGTGGCAGACACCAAGAGACGATGCCGGAAGCTAACGGATGGTCAAAACAAGGCGGTAAGAGTATAAGTAGCTTTATTTGCAACACTTAAGATGTACTTAATTATTTGAATTATTTTTTTAGCCATCACATCTGCACGAGATGCAGCGTTGATTGAAAGGGGTCGGTAGTATATTTATGGATAGTAGTAGTTTGAAAAAACAAAAATAAACGCGTTTACAACCCAGCATATTTTATCAAGGGCGTGCTTTCCTTTATTCATCTCTTTAAATAAATATATTGAATTTCACATCCTGTATTATTGCTTTAGTTGAGCATTGCCAAAGGACAGGACCGACTGGACCAAAGTTACGGCTTTCTTTGACGATATTATGAAACGAAAAGAACAGCTAGAAAGGATGAGGCGTAAGAGAATAGTGGAAGGGCAGACCCGAAACAATCATGGGTCCGACGCACAACATCTGTAATTAACAGAAGTACGAGGAGTACGATCCTTCTCGAGACCTAGAGTTTCTGGTCAAAAGGAAAGCCAGAATGGAGGATGGACTGGAACGGCTCAAAGGGAAGGATAATGAAATGACCGTTCCTGCAAGTCATGGTTTCGAAGTAATATCAAACATATCCCGAACCATGACCCAAGCTGATAAAGGGTCCAGGGTTTCGTGGGTGAGAGTCTCATAGTACCGGACAAAATACAATTCAGTGATGTCCTACCCTTTTCCTAGATATCTTCAAGTTTAGTAAGCAAACACACTATCATTGGACATTCCCACGGAGACATACTCACCGATCTTATATATAATGCTTGTTAATATAGAAAGGACAGTGAATCTTAACAATGATTATTTATGCTTGTGATTATTGTTGTTACGTTGTATATCTACAGCAGGGCACACCGCGCCGGTGATGTCAGCGAGAGCAAAAGTGTTTACTGAATACACGGTGCTTAGAGAAAACCTACGTGCGGATGGCCGCTACGAGGTCACGGACTACTTCGAAGAGGCTGACATCGTGTGGTTAAACACACACTTTAAGGACTTCGCCAATCTAAGAAACGAATACCCGGATATGATGATCAATCAGTTTCCATTTGAACACATTCTTACTGTGAAAGATCTCTTTGCTGTTGTTGCAAGACGGGGAGCCAAGCCGCCTCAGGATCTACAGACCTTCCCGAAGTGGTTACCGACATCTTATAACCTAATGACGGAACTGCCGAAGTTTGCTGCGTATTTCCAGCGACGAGAGGCCGCCGGCTTGGACAATTACTGGATTGTGAAGCCATTCAATCTGGCTCGATCGTTAGACACATATATAACAGATAACATTGAGTTTATTGCTCGTCTGGCAATGACAGGGCCTAAAATGGTTTGCAAGTATATCACTGACCCGGTTCTGTTCAATCGCGAAGGTATAGGACGAGTGAAGTTTGATCTTCGCTACTGTGTCCTCCTTCGAGATGTATCTCCCCTCAAGGTAATGGTACACCGAAAGTTTTATTTGCGATTTGCAAATCGGCCTTTTGCCCTCGATGAATTCGATGTCTACGAGAAACATTTCACTGTCATGAATTACTCAGAAGAGACAGATATGAAAAACATTCTCTGCGACGACTTCATTTTGAAGTTCGAGCAACAAAACAGTAACATCAGTTGGGCTTCAGTGGAAGCAAAAATTTTCGAGGTTTTTTGTGTGTTGTTCAAGAATGCAACTAAATTTCCTCCTCCACTTGGTCTCGGGTATAATCACCAGTCTCGAGCAATGTACGCCATTGACCTGATGCTTGAGTGGAATTCGAGGGGCGAGATTCAGCCGAAATTGTTAGAACTTAACTGGGCACCGGACTGCAAACGGGCCTGCGAGTTCTACCCGACTTTCTTCGGAGATGTTTTTGACGCCCTCTTTAAGGATGATCTGACATCAAAAAATATAGTTCAAATTATGTGAATTATTGTCGCTGTATTGGTGTGTACAACGAAAATGTGTCTCTAGATGAATTGAGTTGACTATTGTTACTAATAAATAGCATAGTTGTTTGTTATGGCACGTAAAATACCTGAAATATTGTGGACGAAAGTTTATTTGAAGTGTTTTTTGAAGGGTAAATGAGACTATATGAATTTAGATACCACAGTCCACTCGTATACACATTTCTACAGAATCTTCAATTCTAATATATATGAAACTGTATATAGATAAAATATATGAATAAAGAAATAGCTGTAAAAATAATTTATTTAATAATGATAGTGATAATCGTTGCGACAGTGAGCTAATAATAATGCAATTAAAGCAACTATTACGATTACTACTACATTCAACAGCTTTCCTATAATATTCCTCTATTGAAATTTTTATCACAGTGTGAAATCGACGCTATTTTCAGTGCCGTCTATAGGAATTTCTCTGAAAAGTAGTTTGGAGCAGGCTTAGCTGTTAACTGAATCATGTTTCTTCCTAGCTTTATTTAGCGTCTTCTCTTACGATTACTTGGTTTAGACTGTACGTTGTCATATATATCATTCCGATTTTGTTAGATATTTCCGCAAATGTACGTTCACTAGGGTTACCAAGATTGACGTCGTCATATTGTTATCAAACAAACGAAATGTTAAACCTATGTGATTATCTTCCAACCCAAGATATATCTTCTTGTTCTTCATTTCCCATAAAACAACTATAATAAAATGAAAGAGTGGTTTAAAAAGATCTGATGTACCACTATAAGTGTGCACATACATTGGTATTAAACGTAAAAACATACAAACAGTAAAGTATCACACTGTAATTGTTACTATTGATATGCAAACCTTGAGGGCTAAGTCGATTCATTTCTGTAGTTGCAGAAAGTTATCAACTGTTTGACGAGACTGAATAACATTATAGTTCCATTCAGAACTGGCCATATATAATCAAGTGTCTGCTTAGTAATATCTAGAGGTTGATATCTAGACGTCTAAATAGCTGGCTTCGTTTCATTATTAGGTTGTAAAACAATGGTCATGGTTATAGAAATGACAATTCTGCAACACATTAATGATGTATACCCTTAGTGTGAACAAAATAGATGTTCTTTAAGCTATAATACGAAGCTAATGGCGTAGCATGCAGGACAAACAATGTGTTGAAGAAAATTGGTGCTTTACTGTGATAAATCAAATCGTTTTTTACCACATCGATGATATTGGCTGTTACGTAAGTGGCGAGACGTACTTCCGAGGCAAGTAACGTTCCACTTAATAAAATTTCCTTTTCCAGTTTCCAAGTGAATCAATGTAACGGATCCCAATGATGTTAGATACATCATAAAAAGTACTTGATCGGTTCTAATTACTCTAATTAGTAGTAGTTACTCTAATTTTTCTGGCGATCTTTATTACAAACAGTCAGCCGTCTCTTCTCAGTAACGACTGAGCCTCCTCGTTTAGCAAGCAGGTCACTTTAGGCTAGAGACTCGCTCGCATTTATCAATAAAAAAGTTGTTAACATTGTTTTCATTATCGCCCTTACTGCCTTTTTGTGCCTGTTCTGTGGCCTTGCTTCAATCTGTGTCTACTCCCTTTAAAAGCATTTATATTGAAGTTGATTTTCGCAGCCACTTTGCTCGACTCATGTGTTCTAGGCGTCTGTATTTGTCCTTCTTGACTTCGAGTTCATCCTTTAAAACTTTTTCTATGGTTTCCTTCTTTACATTTATCATCTCAATATCAACAAATGCTATGATTAGTGTCTGCTAGAGTTCGGTTTCCTTTACCTGACCTAATGGTTCTGTCGTTGCTAGAAAGAAGTTCTGACTGCTAGGCTCTGTTCTACATCCTATGATTTCTGTATTCTAAATCCCCATAAACTTTATGAAGGACCAGTAGTTGTCGTCTCTGTTTTTGAAATATTCGGAAGGGCGGCATATTATATCTCATTTCGCATCGCCCTCTTGCTAAACGGCACGTGCCTTGCTTTGAAATAAAGGATTACGTTAAGCCCCCTAAAACACGGAATAGTAGGGATTATACAGCAGAGTAGGCTAGCACACACATTCTCTGTGAGGTCCACGATACTGTCGACCTTTCAAGTAAGCTTCGGACTGGCGTTAACGTCGGTCAATGGATTTTGACAAATCTGAGTGACAGCCTATGTCGACCATTTTGCCAACCAAGGATGAAGAAGAAGTTACACTTACAAGCCTCAAATTTTAAACTGCCGTGTATTAGCCATTATTCAACTTGATTTCAGTCAAGCCCAGGATCTTAGCAAGCAGTTACTGTGTTGGCAACAGTGCCGCTAATGTCTGACTAATGATGACGCACAGGGTTTAGAGGTCTTCAAGTGACACTATGGTAAGTGTTGTTAGGGCTGATGCTGCGCACGCTGCTAATGCCCCTGCCGCTGTTAGGGCGACGAAACGTAGGCGAAATAAACGAAAAAGAAACCTGGGGCTTAAGGTAGGCGTAGCAACAGGGTGCCAGCGGTTCGCAGCCGTTTAACACAGAATTTAATTAGGATGGTTTGAGAAAGCTGCCGGAACCTTCTTGTTTACATCTATTGAGCGGTGTTATGTGTCTGGTAACGCCGAATATAAGGAAAAAAGGTACTGTGAGATAGAAAAGGGTACCTACTGTGAGACTGTAGTGAGAAAAAGGTCAAGGTAATGAGCGCTTAGCAGTTCGAGTAAGGTAGTTGCTACCCATTCGTTATCCCTAACCCTTTGCCGTAACCAACATTCAGGCTAAGAAGCCAGGGGGCGCTGGTGATCTCCAGCCAATTGATGAACGAGCGCACGGGGACTCGAGGCAGTGAAAGGTAAGGAAACATGGGTGTACGTGCGTGTGTGCATCTATGGGTGTTGGTGTAATTGTATGTATGTGTGTGTAGCTGGCAGAACAGAGACGACTCGTTGAGGGACTCCGACAGCGCAAAACATTAGGACCAATACCGGCGCTGACGTCGACGCCGCCATCACCATCAGAGAGTTCTTCCTACTACTGCTTTTATGGGCGATGCGCCCGCAAGGCCTCTCTTACGTTGGCCGGGGCTAACTCAGGACAACGCCTCTGCACCCGGAGGTGGCGGAACACCAGGAAAATCAGGAGGGTCTTGAAGCGCGATACAAGAGCAGACGACAAAAAGGAACAAAATGATCCAAAAGATAGGGGCGATAAGAAGGGGATTGACCTTGCTACTTCAGAGCCTTGGTTGTTGGATTATGGAACATATAGTTTGTACGAATGGTGGACAGCGTATTTTAGGCACTGTAGATGGGACCGACATAGCCTGCTGAAAAGCTGTGCTTCGATCCATAGAATGCGAGAATACCGGGAGCGGAAGAAGTGAGGTTTTTTTTACATTCATGTAGCCATACCTAAGTGGTCTAGTTCTTGGCATGTGAAATTGACGTGACACCCGTTTCGGTTCTGATGTTTCATTGTATTTATATTACATAATGTTACGTTGCATAAGACGAGAGATGATTAGATGAAAAGAAGACTCGATAAGTATAATAATTCATTGTCTTGAACGAATGTACAAAAAATTGTTATGTTAACCAAAATAGCTAAAAGCGTCCAACTAATTCAATATTACTATTTATACGAACGTATATCTCTGTGCCCTTGGTAGGCATGTGCGAAATTACGCGGACGCTAAACCTGCGCCTACGCATCGGTGACGAGGCTTTTGATATCGCCAATATTGACCGCGTTACTGCTACTACTACCAGAAGCACTGACAGTTGTTGATGCTAAGTGTCTGCTAGATATCGGGAGCGAAAATTTGTCTATATAATCATAACAGCGCCAAAAATTCGCACGCTTTTACACCGTGAATCCGAGCCGGTGTACAGCATTAATGCAACGCCAAACCACGGAACGTTTCCAGCCCGAGCACCACACTCGATCATATCACCGACACAGTAGGCCTGTGAAAGAAGGAACACCAAGCCAACCTTATATATAACTCAAAATCAAATTCAATTCGAATCAATGAAATTTTTGCAGTCGTTTCCTCCAAGCCTTTCGATACTTGTTCCCAACTCTGCGAACCGTATCACTCCCAGCGGCACTGTACTTTCCAAGTTCCGTCTATTTTCACTCATTTCCGGGTGCACCCGGCCTCGCATTGGACAGTACCGTCCAGCTGATCGCACGGTTCGTCGTCATCTGTTTTTAGTAAGGAGCCGCTGTTCTCTCGGCCTACTTAGTTTACTCAAGGTACGCCGTGTCCCGTTTGTTCTAACCGTCGTGTGCTAGTGCTTGTCTGGGACAACGAACGACGACAGCTGGAGTGCGTTTGCTGCTTCTGCCTTAGCCTCAACAATCTCTATTCGTGCGGCCTCCGAGCGGTGCGCTCAAACCAGCCACCAACTGCCAGTCGGGAGAGAAGTCCCGAGTGGGCACTGCTATTGGTGCTGCTGCCGCTACCGCTGCTGCCGCCTCCTGGACATAGTTGTGTGAGCAGGGGAAATAAAGTGACGGAGTGGAGTAGAGAGGTTGTCCGACTGACCGACAGGCCGATAGACAGACAGACAGCCAGCCAACGGCGAACCGCTGCAAGTGTGAACATAGAGAGGCAAGGACAGCGTTAGACAAGAAGCAGGAGATGCGCTTAGGCTGGCAGAGAGGCTCTTGGTGAGGCAGACAAGACGGGAAGAAGAAACAAGGCCAGCCCCCCGGGGCAAACGGAAAATTAGAAGTAAAAGCGTTACGTTAGGGGGCGATCTATATTGACGTGTTGTGGCATGCATTTGTGTGGTGTTTGGGCGTTTTCGAGACGGAGTTAGTCCTGAAAGAGCTGTGGTAGTTTACCGCACCGAAGAAACGACAGCGGAATACGCACAGCGTAAAATACACACCCATTGCTCGCCTAAGCAAAAAGTCACTCGTAGTAGAGCAAATACAGAGAGACGGCCCGTTAATGCTGCGGAGTTTGCTGATAATGATGTGGTGTTCGTAGTGGAAGAATTCGGGTGTGTTTCTCCTTCGCCAAGTTATTCCTTGCTATTGAGTTGTTGAATTGAATTTAATAGTGTAGAAAAGTTAAGTGCGTGTGTCGGCGAACTTGTGGTACACCGTCGATCTCCTCTAATTCATTGTTGCTGTTGCTAGTTGCTGTCTTCGGCCGCCGTTAAGACAATCACCAATATACACATCCAGCATTGTTAGCCTTTCCCCCTATTTTATTGCTGGTGATTAGTGCTGTGGTGACACTCTGGAAGTTCAACACAGCCGCGTGAGCCTGACGGACGTTCTGGCTACCTAGCGCGACCGACAAGCGGCCGCTCTCAGGGCGCGTTCTGGAGTGGCCTGCTTCAGGCCCGACGAGGTCCCGACGATCGAGCTCCTCGACGAAAACGACAACGACGCCGGAGGTCCGTCAGGCCCCCGCAGGCCTCTTCCGGATGCACTGAGCAGCGAGCTACCACAATTTGTCCAAACCAAGGTTGGCCTACTTCAACACCGACAGCAGTACCGTTGTTGCCGCTGCCGACCATCGTCAAAGAGATCATGGACCAATCACAACGACAACAACAAGCCCAGTTGTATCTGCAACAGCATGAGTTATTCGGCATTAATAACCCCAGTGTAGGCAATAGTTGCAGCAGTAGTACTCAGGGCACAGTTGCGCAATCAACATCGTCACCTGCCCCTTCGCAAACTACGCCGAGCCAACAGCAATCGGGAGTGAGTCTTCTTTCGAACACCGTTGCCTCTTTACCATCAACGGCGGTGCAGTCTCAGCATCTGCAGCAATCACAGTCTCAAATCATAACAAGTACTAGTATTTCCATTACGACATCTACAGCCGTAACGACATCTCACAGTTTAGGACTTGCTTCTGCGTCCATTGTTCCAGCGACAGGAAAAATTTCAGCGGCGGCAGGGGCTTCAACCCCCAACACAAACGTGGACATCGCAACAACGCCGGGAACTGCTGTTGTAATCTCTGGTACTGCAGTTGTTTCTATAGCAGCGGCAGGGAACTCTGCAGCTGGCTCAAACCCAGTACCAACAAGCAGTACTAATACTAACGTGACCTCACTAATAACGACAAGTAATGGAGGTAGCTGTGGGACTATTACTGCCAGCGCCGCGACGATCGCGACGGGGGCTTCGGCTGTGGCGAATACAGTGTCCTCTGTTCTCGGGAATGTGATCAGACATCCTACAAACGTCCTTCCTATGGGAGCTAGTGTAGGTCCAGCAGGCGGTATGCAGCCCCCAGGGGTTGCAACGGCGACCAACGCAGTTACTCTGACGCAGACAACTCCAGCAGTTTCGGCTATTTCCGGTACAGGAACTGGCCCTTCGGATGTCGCGGTAGCGAACTCTGTCGTTGCGGCGAATACGGTCGTGCCTACTTCACGACCGCAGTCGCAGCAATCGATAGGCCCTGGCGTTGGTGGAGGATCAGGATTGATATCTCCAGGGGTGAATAATCCTGCAACATGTTGTAGTGACGCTGATGGAGTGAACAAAATTCCGAATTCTGACAGCGGAAGTCCCACCACAGTAACGGGGAAGGTGGCAACAGGATCGACAGCAGCCTCAACAACGATATCGGTTGCCACACCAGTGACAGCTCCGACCCCAGCGCTCCCGGGGGCAGTGAATTCATCATCATCAACAATAAGTGGGATCAACAGTGCTGGAGGTGTCGGTGGAACCCTTATGAATATGAGTAATAATAGCTGTAACGGAAGTAATAATAATAACAATAATATAGGTGGTATCGCAGTAGGCGCCAACAGTGCGACAGGGTCTGCGCTGCGCCGACCTGAGGATGTTCTTCGTGTAACTGGTCAAAACGATAAGCTTAAGTTCACCATGTTAATTGGGCTCCTGCAGGCCACCCCCGAGCAGGCGGGCAAGGACGTCGTTCACACCGTGTTGCACCTGGTAAGAAAACATTCAATTCAAAGTAGAATATACAATATATCATAAATAATGTTCAATGAATAGATTAGTCACGAAATTCAAAATTAATAGTAAAAAATTGTGGACATTCATGAATACTTCGGTGTTTACGCCACGTCTATACAGATGTATACGTGTAGGTAAAGCATTGAAGAAATAGGGATATGATAGGAATATGATAGAAATCTGCAAATACCTATAACTCAAACAAACTGTACAAATCGAATTTTCATCAAGAGACGAGCAATATTTGAGGTAAAAAGTTTGGCTTTTGTGACTTCCGGCTGTGGTTCAGTAAAACAGAGCTACTGAGAGTAGTTACAAAGCTATGACGCACATATACCTTTTGACATTAAGCAGTATATGTTATAATGATTTATTCAGTCCAACAGTAAACGTATTCTGAGAGCTGGGGAGGGCATTGAGCTTTTTTATATATAGGTATTTCATTTTATACTATTTGTATAAAGAAAAAGTGATGACGTCGTATCAATGAGTTCAATTTATTCATTTCTTAACATAAGCGTCGTCCTCTATTCACTGACGTGTCGCTAAGCGCATCATATGACTGACGACTAGCCTAACGAATCGGGCCAGCTTTACCCACTACTTTATGACAAGTATATCATTCATGTTTCAAATAGGAGGACAGATTTACTATCATCAGCTTGCCTACAGATCAACACATAGTATCACAGTAAAACATCGAATCTTTGACGTTTTAGGATGATCGTAAATACGTTTGTCACGCCGGGGATCTAGCGGGTTTGGGTGCCCAGCTCCGTTGAGGCTGCCTGCCGGCGTTTTGTGTTGTGACGTTGACTCCTTCAACAATTCAATCAGCCATGTCCAAACAGAGCCGTACAGTTAGTTCTTGCTTTAGTGGTATAACCGTGGGTTACTTCTCTTAATACTAATTATTCGAGACGTTTTCTCGTTATATCGTTGATCTCGTTTACGTGATATGTAAGCCATATCGACATATATAATGACTAGATTAGATAGACAATATTAAATTAGAATTCCTATGTGCTATGTATTATCAACAAAGGTTCGGCCCCGAGTGCAGTCAAGCTATAATTACAAGGACAGGGTTTGGTCAGGTTTCATGTCTAGCATTTCGCAAAGACAAACTGGTGGTGAATCGCGGAAACTTGATAAAACTACAAAGTACAAAGATAGCAGGTCATGCTACTTTCAACTGAGAATGGCTATAACCTTGTGACTTGAGCAAGGCCTGGCGTAAGCGAAATGAATACATCGGAAACGATTGAAATATACGAATACATTATGGCAACCGGATGTCGTTGTGTTGCTATTTTTGTCGTAGAAACCTATGGCTCTATTTAGTTTGGCGGTGGATGTTACATAAGATACTATCGTCATACCTTAAACGTTACAAGGCAGATTCTCGAGTAGGCCCATTATCATTTTTGGGGTTACCGTACAAGTATGCCACTTTAACTAATCAATTAAAAATTCAACTATTCAGTAATGGTCTATCTATTATAGTTCAAGCTAATAATTAGACAGTCACTTAGATTCTATTAAACACAAATTACTAACAATAATGCAACCTAGACACCAATAGCAACATGAAAAAAACATCGGCTTTCAAGATGTATGTTTTACGTAACGTCGACGATAGTTTTACAATATTCTACTGACTGATACTCAAGCCATGATTCATCAGCGAAGTTCTGCATCGTTGCCTGTGGCGTTGGTGTTGTTTTATACATAAACAGGACATCCACTTTTCACTGTTCTGGCTGAAGCAAAGTTGCTTAAACAGGACCATTCTATCCATCCGTCAATCGCAGGCCCCTTGTGAGATCTTTGCTATAGTCCCTACACTTGGCGGCATTAATATTTGAGCCCAGTGTCGTCAAGCGCCGATTGGTCGCACGTTGCCGACCGAACTGACATCGGCTGTCACTGCTTGTGCCGGCGCGTCTTCACAGGTCTTCCTGTGTTTGCAGCTAATCGTTAGCAGATAGAAGCGGATAAATATTTCTACCATGGGCAACTGACTGATTCGTTGACCAGTTTAAAACGAGACGGAATGTAGAATTTGGCGCTGCGTCGCCGTCGCGCATAACTGAAAAACAAATGGCTATCATCGGATAGTACAGACAATTGTGGCTTACATTTACTCTGGCCCGGCCAGCTCGATTAGTTCGCCTTACGTTCGTATTTCTTGTTACCACCAACAGTGGGTCTTAGTGGAATAAGCAACAGCGGCAGTATTGGAAACATCCTTAACGCTTATTCGGTGTTGCCAAGGAAATTATGATGGCGCCGATAACGGGTTGGTGATTGCAGTCGTGCCGGAGACCGAGCGGCAACGACGGTCGATGCTGTTCTTAGGGGAAAGGAACAGAGATTTATCCGTGTCCTCAAATGACTGTTTAACGGGGTGCCACAAATATAATTTCTGGATCAGTACGGGATGGTGTTTAGATTTGGGAATGGTTCAATCGTAGTAGAGGTGCTATCACAGCTTGTTAGGAGGCACAAGGAAGTTAGGTCAACCGTGCGATAATGATGAAACTAAAATTACGACTAAAAAAAGTGGATGCAATATGCCACGAATATATAATACGATATCAAAAACACGTGAAATATGTATTTCATAGAGCAGTTTCAGTACGAGTGCGGGGGTACTCTCGAGGTGTTGGCTTCACAGTACCCTGATCGTCAAAACCTTTTAAAGCTTTTTAATGTTTGCTATTATATTATAAATTAAGTCAATACCAGTACCGAATCAACGTTACTCATATTCACGGGAGCAACTGAAGGCATTATTGGTGCAAACCAATTCTGGAGGCACAAAAAGCCATGACCGGCTGCCGTTAACCATATAGCCATTCATTATTTCTTTATGTAACTGAACTCCTAAAATTCAAACGGAAAAATTTGTACCGTAGATAATCGGAAGTCCTCACTTTCTATTCCATCTGTTTGATCATACCAACTTAGACCGACACACTGAGTTCCGTTACGGCTCGGCCCTGTGGAGCACTCTACTAATCTCAGTGACATACATTGCATTTTTTACTATTCATTGTGATTCGCCCATCTCTTCGTCTTCATATCTACGAGCGTGTGAACGAAAAGCCAACTTTAACAAATTAACAAAAAAAAAAACAATTATCCTCCGTGAAATCTGAGCATTTACTGCTAATAGCGGGGGTTTACTCTAAACGCCATAAACTCAGCTCCACCAGTTACAACCTGCGACCAGCGCCCTACCTACTTTTCAACGCCTCCTCTACGCAGTACTTCCTCTATTTCTCTATTGCCTGGTCAAACAGGTTTGGCATGAAAGCGCAGCGCGTTGCTATGTCGCCCTCGTCGTTAGCGAAATGGAGAACGGCATCTAGACAGTTATTATGCCGGTCAAGCAGACAGTTCGCCTTGACAGCCGCGGCGTCATACCTATGTCCTATACAGAGCCTTCGTTGGTGACTTGCGCTCTGGTTGATCTAATACAAAGCGGTTACAAGAGGCGAAAGGCAGCAGAAAAGAGCGTAAAAAACGTAGGCGTTGTGGTTGACATCTGTACTTCAACGTGTGCTGCATCACCCATAGGCCACCGGTAGCGCTCGTTAGAGGGCGAACAAAATGACTAAACCCAGTTCTGCTCAAATATTTATTATATCTGTATTAATAATAGTAATAACATTAATTGTTTTAGAGAACAAGTGCCCTTGGCTGCCACATAATCTGTATCACTGCCATAAACGACGTAGGCGCAACTAACGAACATAGTGTTATTTGGTCTATAGGGCAGGCCATCGATATTGCTTCAGCTCAGCTACGAAGATTACGACTAGTGTCACGCGCCAGTTATCTGTCTCAACAATATATAGATGCAAAGAGATTTGTTTCTGGCCAAAACCACAGTAGCGGTATAGCCTCCGCGGCGCGTAAGCTGAATGTGCACGTACTTGACAACAGTTTACAAACTCAGTCATGTTGTGCATTTAACAGTTGAGGCGAGGTAGTCACGTTATTGGGGCTTATGACCGCTCGTGAGAGTTCTGAATACTGTGACTATATATATATATAGTCGCGTCACCGCATATATATATAGGGTGACGCGAGAGGGGCCATGACGTCGATGTTGGCGGTGACACTCAACTCAACGGGATCGACAGGAATAGCCACAGCGACGGACGCTCCCACTCGCTGGTGGATAGCTTACCGGCTCTGTTCGCTCTGTGTGTTCACCAAACGCTATTAAAACTGGCATCCTATATTCGTAGTTGGGTATCTATTAATAGTTTAATCCGTAGTGGCAGCACCATCTGCTTCAGTAGGGATGTATCCTGCTATGCGTTCCCGCGGTTTCTTCAGTGGCGCTCAGCCTGTGAAGTTGGTTGAGGACGACGAGCCGGAGAGAGTGAAATTTCTTTTTAGTTCAATCGTTTATACTATTCATTGCTATTAGTATTAATATAATGGTGGCCACTGACGGAAAAACTGGTTTGTGTTGGGTGGCAATTAGTTGGTTTTTGTGAATAGCACGATCTTGACACAAATATTAATAATTATAATCATTGTTACTATCATTGCCGTCGGCGTCTGGTTAAGATACTTCAATGAACTCCGAGGCCAAAGCACTGATCGGCGCAGACGTGCCTGTATCCCGTTGGTTGAAAAAGTTTTCTCGTATATCGACGCGTCCTAGCAAGCCAGCTAAAATTGTCGTGACAACATCAATCGGAGTAGCATTTGGCAGCCGACAAACATACGCGCGCAGGCACAGGCATACAAGCAGAGTCAATTTACACAAAGAGCGGAAGTGATAAAATTCTGTTGTGCATTGTTAGAATACAGGTCACCTAAATGTTTCGCATAAGAAATGGTACGGTTTACGAATTGCTTTTATTGATTTTGTATTGATCTATAATAAACTTATGGTTTTAATGTACATAGCAATTAACACCGGAACGTAACTTTATTTGCTCGATCGGCCA